GAATGGCTTCCCATTACGGCCAGGGTAACTTTATACTCTTCACCGTGGCCTACGAGATCCTACATGGTCCGGCCCCTGCCTAGCTCTCCATTCCCACTTCCTGTTCAAGCCACTCACTCCACTCCAGCGCCACCGACCTCTGTTCTACACGATCTGTGTTCCGAGAACACAACACACTGTTCTACGTGCTCTTACCCTTGACCCCACAATGCTGCCTCCTTCATCAGCTGGGCTCAGTTTAAACACCACTCTGAAGGGCCTCCTGCAGATGCTACCCTGCGCTGGCAGTCACTGTTACATTACTTCCTTTGTACTTCCAAGCAACTGCACAAGTTCATCTTACAACACAGAGAACGTTCACACCTGATGCCTTTGGCCCAGACAGCTTTGTTGAGCCTGGTGTCAATGCGCACGTCTGGGGTTCCCATCTCCTTCATGGCAAATTTCCGGATCTCCTTCAGCGCCCGAGGGGCACGCTTCTTGAAGCCGCTAAGATTTAAACGGACATAAATAAACTAATTCATGAAATGCAATACACAATATGCCCCGTTTTCACAAACACAACATTTAAGTAAATACTATACGTGCCCTCAGATCAAAACACAATCTAATTATTCGTTATACCTGAAGATGGGCTATTTTTGAAGCAGATCCCTCAATGCTATTAGTTTACTGTTCATCAATCTAAGTGTCATCCAGCATTTGTTCTGAAACCAATACCTACAACAAAATGACTATTTATACCTGTAAAACCAGGACCTTCTTTGAACAGTAAGCCTTTGAACATCAACCACAAGTGGCAGCAAACCCTGAAAGGCCCAAAGGAGCAGGGTCCCAAGAGTGAAGGCAGATTCCCGCCCAAGAGTGTGAAGGAGACAGTGGTTAATTCTGTGGATCTTGGGACCTGCTGGGTTCGGTCCCCAACGCTTTTATATACGTTCCTCCTCTAATTCAAGTCTGCTTGGAACTCTGGGTTAGGAACTATTAACCCTTTGTTCAGGGCAAGGGTTCATGGATTCATTTAAATCCATGCTTTCAATCAAATCAGAAATGGG